AGAGGGAGAGAGAGAAAGAGAGAGAGGAGAGAGATTAGATAAAGAGTGATGAGAGAGAGATGGGAAAACAGATGCTCCTTCACTCAACCAACACCACCCTTTTATAAGCTGAGAGATCCGTGTTGTACAAACTCAACCCATGTCATACCACCACAAAACAACAGAGTTGGAAGGGGCCTTGGAGGTCATCCAGTCCAACCATCCATTCCCAGTCCACTGTACGGAAAGTCCTCAATTTACAACGACTACCGGGGACCAGAATTTCCATCGCTAAGCAAAGCGAATACGCGAAATGACTGGTGTCCGATTTTACAAGCTTGTTTTGGGTTTGTTAGTGCAGTTGTGAAAAAGGAACCACAAAGTCCTTCCGTGAACCCAGCTTCTCCTGTTGACTTCACCAGTCGGAAGCCGGCTGGGAAGGGGGCAAACGGCAAGCCGCGGTCTGGTGCGCATGTACCCGCCTAGGAGACAGATGCCTCGATCCTCCAAAAAGAGGGAAGATTCACCCAGAGCAGTGCGGTAGCCTAGAGGTAGAGCTCTCGCCTCACAATCAGGAGTCTGTTTGTTCAATCCTAGGTAAAGGCAGATATTTCCCTCTCTCTCGGCACAATGAGAATATATCTGCTGAAAAAAACTCCGTGCTGGTGACAGGAAGGGCATCTGGCCAGTAAACATTCTGCCAGCTCCATTCAGTTGCCCAGACTCCACCCCGCAAGGGATTACGGGGTCCTGAAAAGGAGAGGATGCTTCACCCAACCGTCACTTAGCAGGGAACTGGATTTGGCTGCTGGATATTTGGGAAACGCTAATGCTGATCTTCTTGTGGTGTGGTGCAGTTTGTGTCTCCCTCTTAGGAGCCGCCAGCATTCCTCCGCTGCCTCTCAACCTTGCACAATTCGGCAACATGATTCAATGTGCCAACCATGGCAGTCGACCTTCTTTGGATTATATGAACTACGGTTGCTACTGCGGTCCAGGAGGTAGTGGGACACCGGTAGACGACTTGGATATGTAAGACCTCACCTGGGGATCACAGAACCTAGAATCCTAGGGTTGGAAGAGACCTCGGGGGTCTTCTAGTCCATCCCCTCCTGCAAGTGGCAGGAGATCCTCTAACGTTCCAGACTCCCTTTGGGCTTGAAGGGATCATAGAAAGAAGGACGGAATAATAAAACACAATACTAGAGTTGGAAGGGGCCTTGGAGGTCGTCTAGTCCATCCCCCTGTTCTGGCAGGAAAGCCTAAACCATTTCAGACAAATGGTTGTCTAATCTCTTCTTCAAACCTCCAATGTTGCCGCACCCACAACGCCTGGAGGCCAGTTAATTGATCTCACTGTTTGGAAGTTCCTCCTTAATTCCAGGTTGCTTCTCCCCACGATCAGTTTCCCTCCGTTGCTTCTTGTCCTGCCTTCAGGGACTTTTGGGGAACAGGTTGAACCCCCTCCTCTCTGTGGCAGCCCCTCCAATATCGGAAGACTGTTACCATGTCACCTGTAGTATAACGGATCCTCTATCGTCCTTTGACAGTTTGCAGGTGCAAGAGAATCGCTTGGATGAAATGGTACATGGGAAAGACCTTGGCAGACGTGGTGTAGAGATGCTATCTAGGGGAGAGTCAGATAAGAGAGGGCAAATAAAAATAAATAAAATAAAAAATAAAAATAAATGAATAAAAAATAAAAATAAAGAAAGGGCAGAGGTCAGAGATGTATTAGGGGTGGAGAGAGGGGAAAAATAGTACTTTTGGATAAGCAAGGTTCTGTTAAGGAAGATTTATAATGAAGCTCAGAGAGCACCAAGGACCCCACAATCTTCCTCCTCCTCCTCCTGCTCGTCCTCCTCCTCCTCCTCCTCCTCCACCACCACCTCTTCCTTCTTTCCACAAACTCCCCTCCATCCTAGCACTGATGCTGCTACCTAATTGGGTCACAAAACATCCGCAAGAAAATAACCAAGTTCAGAGAGCACCAAGGACCCCACAGGACCCTCTCCACCTCCTCCACCTCCTTCTTCTGCCCTCTTCCACAATCCCCCCGCCTTCCTAGCACTGATTATATTGCCTAGTTGGGTCCTGAAACATTTGTAAGAAAACAACCAAGCTCAGAGAGCATCAGTGAACCCCTCCCACCAACTTCTCACACCTGGAGAGCCAACTCTAACTCTTCCTGCTTTTGGCCAGGTGCTGCAAAATACATGACGACTGCTATGCTAGAGCCACAAAAAGCTACAGTTGCGCCCCCTACTGGACGTTGTATAGTTGGAAATGTTACGGAAGTGGACCCTACTGCAGTAAGTATCACAAACCCCAACCAACCCGTCTTTCCAAGACAAGGCCATGCAGGAGCAACTCTGTAGGCTGTCCTGAGTCCCAGGCTTGGTTGAGCCTTTGCTGGATGAAGATGTCATGAAAAGGGCTTTGGGCAATTCCTACTATAGCTCTACCTGGAGGAGGTCTTTGTTATGTAAAATATTCTGGCCCAGGCCTTAATGGCCCACCCATCAACAAAGGTGGGGGTGAGTTTCTGCTTCTGAGTTTCTACTCTTTTTAGGGGAAATATTCTGCCTTTTTAATATTTCCTAGGATATTTCAATTTTCTAGGAGAGGGGTGGGTGCTACCTTCCTACAGGGGCGTCGTCGTGAGAGCACAATGCAAGTTCTATCCCTTTTCGTCTAGGCGCGCAACTTCACAACGGGTATTGAAAAGACACAGGGCTGCGTCTCGCAATAGTGCAGCGTTTGTTTTGGTCATGCCTCCCCCGAGGTTCACCATTTCCTTCTTCCCTCCAGATTCAAAAACGCAGTGTCAACGTTTTGTGTGTGATTGTGACTCCAAAGCAGCCATGTGTTTCGCCGGAGCCCCTTACAACAACGCGAACTGGAATATCGACACCAAGAAACGTTGCCGATGATATTTGAGAGCCTTCAGCGCAAGGACTGTGGCAGTTACTCACCTGCGCGTGGCAATTCTCTGGAT